GTCACCCCAAAGCTTCTCCTCTCCAGGCTGAACAATCCCAGCTCTCCCAGCCTTTCCTCCCAGCAGAGCTGCTCCAGCCCTGGCATCCTCTTGGTTCCTGCTCTGGCCTCTCTCCAGCAGCTCCATGTCCTTGCTGGGCTGTTCCCCAGGGCTGGAGCAGCTCTGCAGGGGGGTCTCACCTGATGGGCAGAGGGTTTGGATGTATCTCCACCTACACTGCAGGGCAGTGCCTTCCTCCAGGAGGCTGCAGATGTGCTTTTAAACTCCCCAAGCTGCACATGGAAGGTAAGCACGAATTCCCATTTTCCAGACAAATGACCTCCATGGTGCCTCACTGCACAGAACGTGCCTGGCCCACCCTCCCCTGCTGAGCTTTATCCCAGGGCTGCTGCTGGGTTGGGAATTCTGAGTGTGTTCACTGACCAGGCTCCTCGCTCAGGCCTAACAGATTCCAGGAAACAGCATCTGCTTCCCCAATCCCAAAGCTCTAAGGCACAGCAGGCTGGAACAGCTGCTGGCACTGGACTGCAGCTGCCAGAGCTACTGCAAAGCTGCAATCCCTGCTGGAGCATTTGCCTCCAATGGGCAGGAACAAATTCCAGGGCCTGTGGAGACCTGACCGTGGCTGCAGCAACCTCTGATGGGGAAGGGACAGAGGCAGACTGAGGTGTCCAGCACCTTTCAGTTCTGTACCTCATTTCCCCCTGGGTTTGTGTTGGGTTCTTGCCCCCTCTGAGGACCCAGGGCCTTGTTTTCAGGAGAAAGGCACTTCTTTAAAGGCAACTTGCTGGGATTTCTGTGAAAGATGAGCTGTACATTAGAGCCTGTTTGCATGTTCCCTTCAGTGATTGTATTTATACAGGCCAGGGCAGACCCAGGGACCCTCCCATTAGAACCTGGGATCCCAAAGCCCGTTATTCCCAGTGAACACTGCAAAATCCTTCAAGAACTGTTGGTAATTGCAATACTGTATATGAAAGTGACTTGTTATTCCAGAAACAGGTACATTTTTATGGAATAAAATGCAGAATAAAGTTCAGCAAACAACAAGTTGAAAGGAAAAAGAGAGGCTGAGACAAATCCTTTTAAAATCCCTTATTGTGAATATCTGTAACTCCAGTCCCTGGGAAACCAGCCCTTCCAAACTCATGGAAAAGGCAGAGAAAGCCCAAAGGAAGGGTGGCTCGGGTTAAGCTCCCTGTTGGTACAACCTGTGCAAAGGTAAAGGTTTCACTGGTGCTGCCTCACACAGGGGCAGGGACATGGGAGGCACAGGGTGCTGGAATCTGCTCTGCCTAAAAACCCCTCCCTGAACCCCAACTGCCTGAACATCACACAGAACATGCTCCTGGTACTTTTGGGAATATTAATAAAGACACAGAAGCGCAGCTTTTGTTTTCACAAAGTGCTGTGAATGCAGTGAGGAAGGACCAGGTGTGCAGCCCACAGCTGGATAACCAGCTCATCCAAGGGGAGAGCAACTGGCTCATGGGTGGGGCACACAGGGTGACACTGACTGGGGTGACACCAGGCTGGCACCATCACTAGTGGGGTCTGCAGGGCTTCATCTTCAGCCCAGTGCTCTTCAACATCTCCATTAACAACCTGGACATGGGACTGGAAGGGTTTGTGGATGACACTGAACTGGGAGGAGTTGGTGACTCCCTGGAAGGCAGGGAGGCCTTGCAGAGACACCTGGACAGATCAGAGGGCTGGGAACCACCAACCACGGGAAGTTCAACAAGGGGAAGGGAC